TCTGCAGCTGTGATGTCATCTCTGTGACCTCCTTCAGCGCGTCTGTAGGGGAAACAGCACCGAGGGGATCGAAGCAGAGCAGAGAAACCCAGGCCACCCATTTCACCCACCCCTGGAAAACCGAATCTGAAATTCATACCTGAAATTCATAGCCAGCTTTGGAACAGAATAGTTTAGTTGGAAGGGACCTACAATGATCACCCAGTCCAACTGCCAACTTCTTAAAGTGTATTTTAGAGCTACCCAGCGGGTAAGTAGAGACTAACAAGCAACTTCATAGCACTTCCTATGCTTCTGGAGTTCATTGTGTATCTCAGATATTGCTCATATAAAAAAGTATTTACCATGTAGCCAAAAGTAAAGTAAAAAATTAAAGCAAACTATTTCTGCCAAAGATTACTTTGTCATGAATGGAATTTAATATGTACATTTTTGATACTACAAAACAAGCATTTTTTTGTCACATTTTTACTTCAAAAATATCAAAGTTCCTAAAAAACTGCTTTTTTTCCCCGCTAAAAAGGGAGACAAGAAAAGGACTAATTTTCAGCTTTGGTTGAAGCCTTGGGATCCGTTAAGATTACCATGAGAAAACCACTTCCTGGAATGCCAGACAAAAAGCATTTACACTGAATTTGTGGACATAATTGAACACAAGTGTCCAAGGCCAGGCTGGTTGGGGTGCTCTGAGCACCCCCGTCTAGTGGAAGGTGCCCCCGCCCGTGGCAGCAGAGTGCAGTGAGATGAGCTTTAATGTCCCTTCCAACCCAAACCATTCCACGATTCTGTGATTCCACAATTCTTGTCTCCCCAGGGTACAGGCAAAATTTTGGATGCCCGTGGAAGGGGTGTCTGCCAGCAGGCACACAGCTGGGGGCTCACTCACTGCGGCAGTCGGCAAAGTCCCGGTGCTCCGCCGTGTAGTGCTTGCACAGCCTGCCCAGGATCAGCTTGTAGTGCATCAGTCTCTGGATGGGTTTGAGCAGAAAGGTGTTGAGGGGCAGGTAGCAAACCTTCTGCAGCTCAAACTCCTTATAAACCATCTCCAGCTTCTTGAGGCGCTTGGTTGCTTTCTCCAGTTCTGTCAGGACCTCGTCGTGCTTCTGCAGGTAACTGGTGAACTCCTGGGGAATGGGACAAAGAATTACTCAGATCGAAGGAAAACAGTCTTCCATTATTCAAGAAAGTGGCAGACAACTCCCAGTCAGGATCAAAATAGGTCTGTATGGCACTATGCCTGTGCCTGCTGGGAATACCAAATGCTGGTAGTCAAAACAGCAGTCCCACACTCCTGTACTCCCATTCAAGCCACTGGTTTTAATGGAATAATTACTCCACTACTACAGCACAAGTGTAACTGTTCCACAGAGGCACTCTGCACCGAATAAAGGTGACTTCATTTCAGAAGTTCTGTCTTTAAAAAATACATATGCTTTTGAATTAAATAACCTTATGAACTGTGGTCTCAATAGGGGAGCTAAAGAAACAATTTTTCTTCCTTTTCTGCTGAATAAGCAACAGAGAAACACCTTTTCTCAAGGTAAATGTAAGTGGCTAAATAAAAAACAGTGATACAAAGCCTTCATGCAATTATTTTGTTTTCTTTTTAAATTGCTATCAACAATAATTGTTTGCAAGTTACTTCAACGCTGACCGAAATAGAGCAGGGTTAGATTGGATTTAGGGAAGAATTTCTTCCTGTGAGGGTGGTGAGGCCCTGGCACAGGTTGCCCAGAGAAGCTGTGGCTGCTCCATCCCTGGAAGTGTCCAAGGCCAGGGTTGGACAGAGCTTGGAGTAACCTGGGCTAGTGGAAGATGTCCCCGCCCATGGCAGGGGTGGGACTGGATCCCACCCTGGATCACAGAATCACCATCCTGTGATTTTGTGATCCTTGACAAAACAAAGACTCAATAATCCCAAAATTTCATGTCTTGAATCCTGTATTTACCTTTAGGATGCGCATATTCCTGAGCATGACATCTCCGATGCGCTGGTAATCTCCTTTCACGTGAGCATTGGTTCTGCCTTCCCTGGAACACACACACAAGGAGGAAACAGGAAGGTAACATAAACAGGGGATCAAGAAATTTACATTTCTTCCCTCCATCTACCTCTGTAATTCAAGACATAATCTTTAGCCACTTGAGATTCCCATTTCACTGTTCAGATTGGTACATTAAATATGGAAGCTGCATGAAATAGCAAACACAAAGTTGTGCTTAGAAAACTGAGAAAGGACTAGAAATGAGTTTGTGTGAAAGTCTGTTCGGGAGTTTAACCTCTCAGGCCTCTGAACAGATGTCATAACATGATCACACCTGAATTTATTTTTGTTCACACTCCTCTTGGATGGTAATTATATTATATTATATAATATGTCAAGTCAGGAGAAAGTAATGCAAAGGTTAAGAGACTAAAAACACGCTCTGCGAAATAAATGCTGTTGCAAGAACTGAACTCTCATCTTAATTACAAAAAATGTTTCCTAGATTTTCAGCTGGAGTTTCATTAACTGGAAGGTGTGGAAAAAACCCACGGATTATCTTTCTGACCTTGTGTTCCTTCTCTTTTCTAAGGTTTGAGAGACACTACCAGGTTATATTAACAATAGGACTTGACAATCTTAAGGGTCTTTTTTTTTACAAAACCCTTGGTCTGATGCACAATTCACACGACTACAGGATATTATACACAAGGCAGAGCTTGAAAAATGGGCTTTGCACAATGCATTTAGTACTTTTTTTACAACTATAATTTAGTAAATACTTCTCCTTGATTGTACTGATGCAGAAATACCAGGTCAAAGAGCGTTTAAGTCTGGTTTTCACACGAGGATGCAGAAAAAGGTCCCCCTGTTCGCTTACCAGAGTGAGAGCCTTTGTTCAATCTCTTTCAGAAAGCCTCGATGGAACTCATAGATGGGGTCTATGTTGGAGAAGAGCAGTGTCATCAGGCCCTCTGGCATGGCATTCTCCTTGATGACCGCGCTGCGGAACCACTGCCAGAAAATCAGAGATTCCCATCAAATTCTCTATTTCAGAAGCTCGTCGTTAGAACAGAAATTCCTGCTCCTGCAGCGATGGGGGAGGAGAAAGTATGCACAGGGAAACAGCAGGAGGGAAGGAGAAATATTTAGGGAAGACGTAATTTGTGAAAAATGAAAAGATGGGGTTTTTTTTTCCTTGCCAAACATTAGGAAGACGAGACATTTATGGCTGGCTCTGGGCATGAGGGTGTTTCTGAATGCGATGATGGGATGGTTGGTGACAGCTGAGTGACGGTCAGTTACCCAGTGGCTGCCCCAGCTGCTGTCACACCACTGCTGTCACTTCCATGCAGACACAACTGCTCCCATACACCTTGGAGCCCTGTGCAAGTTACTCAGCAGCTGGAGACATCTCGTTGCAGGTCACACTCTGCACTTTATCGCTTTCGGTTCCCCGCTTTCTGGCAGGGATGGGGATATTACAAAAATCCTCTGAGGTGCCAGGTGTTCCCCCATCTTTTAGAAGTGCTGGGAAGCCTGTAGGAGGAATTGGAGTGAGATGGTGCTCGTTGAAGATGCAGAGAACACCTCAACTGAAGATGCATGGCATTAAGGGACTCGAGCTTTTCTTTGATGAAATTAAAATGCAGCAGTCACAGTGCTCAAACATGATGTTCACCAACAAAAAGCTCTTTCAGAAACAAAGCTGGAAACTCACGCTGCCCTCCAAACCAGGACTCACTTGTCTAGTCTGGGTAAAAGGAAGTGGAAGAAAAAGAAACAAGAAAACAAGACAAAACTCCTCAAACACCCATATAGGTCCTTGATGCCCTTTGCAACTGCCTTCTGCTCTCAGATCCAAAGGCACAAGGACAAAAGCTTCCCAAGGAAAACCACTGAACTGATGGTCAAGTTACAAGCAGAGCTGGCAGCTATCACCAAAACTGAATGCAAAACACTTTTAGGTTGTCTCTGTTCACAGCTTTCGGAGCAAAAGTTTGTCTAAGTTATCAGGCTGGCACAGGATGGAGCTGCTGGAGCTAAAGACAGAAGTCCAGAGAAGGTATCTACTCTCCCACAGGAGGAGCTATGGAACAAGAAAGGGGACAGCTACTTGGCTAATGAACTATGCTACATGTTAGGAAGAAACTCCAAGTTTTTCCAAACTAACAATTGGGCACGAATGTGCTAAGAAAAACCAAAAAAAAACCATTAAAGAAAGTCAAACCCCCTTACCACTGTGATAACTTCCAGGTCCTTTAAATAGGTCCGTTCTGTGGCAAGAATCTCCTTTGCTATGAAGTATGCCTTGTCGGTGGGGTAGCGCTGCAAGGATACACAGCCATCAACACACAGTAAAACACACAGGCTCTAGTTATTACTGAGCACAAGCTCAAACCTCACACCCCTCTTGCTGTGTGCAAATGGAGCAGCCCATTACTAACAGGGCACCTCTGTATTCAGTATCACACTCCCAAACAATGACTTTACAGTGTTTTTCTTATTTCGAGACTATTAAAAATTAAGGTTATATGTCAATTGTCAGAGAATCACAAGATGGTTTGGGTTGGAAGGGACCTTAAAACCCATTTCATTCCACCCCCTGCCATGGGCAGGGACACCTTCCACTAGACCAGTTGCTCCAAGCCTCATCCAACCCAGCTTTGAATATTTCCATTATATGAACTTCCATTTCAAATCAAGGGAGCACTTTACAAAAATATGGAAACAGTTATTCCAAGGTTCCTAGGTTTTAAACACTTCTCTAACCAAACACAGCTCAGTAGATTTGCAACACAGTCCTTTTTCAAAACTATTCTATTTCCACTTGAGGCTTTTACTCAAGTCCTTTGAAGATCATATTAATTAGCTAAGAAAACAGTAAAATCAAAGGGCAGCAGTTGTTGACTGTATGGTTGCTCCAGGGCTGCTATTTACAGAGAAGACAGAATGGACATGGAAGCATAAAGGAATGAAATGGTGATACTGCAGTTCTGCAGCTGCAACGACCCAAAATCAGAGTTAACCTGAAAACATATATTACTAAAAATCACATAATATTAAGGACCTAATCCCATTTCAAGCTAAGATACTGTTTTGGCTCCTTAGCTCACTATGCTGTGGCACAGTTTTGTGCCAAACCTATGCCTGGTCAAAATCAGTCACAGCAAACCCACTGAGTTATGTCAAAATTTGGTCTCCCCCATGTCTGCCCCTACTGAGAGCAACACAGCTTTGAAAGTTATTTCTTCTGTTTCCTTGTATGTACCGAGTTAATTAAAAATTCTCTTTTTAGAGTTGCTTTGAGATGCCTCCGGCGCTGTCAGCACAGTTACTGAGCTTCCTAATCCTCCAGCTCAATGTTGCTCAGGGAGGAGATGTTCTCCTGGTAACCTCTCTGTTGGGTCAACCTTAACCACACAGAGTCCCTGGAGGTATGTGTCCCCAAAAAATTCATTCTGAGACACTGTCTAGCCTCTTTTCAGGTTATTTTATGCTAGTTACTGTAGTCCCACACATCAGCCCCCACCCTGGAGGAACCAGAGGACATACTTCAACGTACTTCGACTCATTCCATAGCCATTCTCTCAACTTTAACCTACCTGTCTCAGGTACACAGTGTCAGGCAAAGTCCTACCTAATCTTGGCTTCAGGTATTGCTTTTTTGTTCTTGGGCTATTTACCTGACTGTAGTGTCATACGCTGTTGAAGCTCAGTGGGAATCCTTCTCAAGCAGCCTCTTCTCAAAAGAAAAACCATCGTTTTTATGGCCTCCCTGGAGCTCGAGATGATACGGCTTTTTCATTTCACTTACCAGCTTCAGCAGATTCTTACATGACAGGACAGTAGCAGGTATGTTTCTGTGTAACACAGCTCTGTGTACACCTCCTCCTGGACTCTGTGCAGGATCCTATAGCACTTCCTTACAGAGGAAGTGCTTACACACTTACAGAGCACGAAGGCACACGAAAACGTGGCAGCGTGACTTTTTACATGGGCAGGTGGCGACAGGAAACAAGGGGGAACTTTTTAAAAACTAAAAACACAACATGGCCATAACCTAGCACTTCTCATAGCCTGCATGGATCACCTTTTTCATCACCTTTGAGCATTTCTACAGGTTTTCACTTCATTCTCCAGCTAACTCTGTGCAAACGTGGGGCACAGAAGATGCTTTTCTTTTCCCAGGTTGCTTCTCTTCCTTTCTCCCTCATCCCAACGCATCATCATTTACTCTCATAAGCTCCTGCTCTTTCCAAATTGTTCCCTGCTGAAATTTAGTGCCCTTAATTTGCTTTTTTTTCTGTCTTGCACCAGTCCTAAGTGCCTCCCCTGTGCTGAGTGCTGGCAGCAGCTGCTGGGCAGAACCTGCACCAGAAGCACCGAGAAGTGGAGTGGCTGTCACAGTGCACAGGGGCCCTGCCAAACACCTTCAGTACTGGTCAGGTACTGCAAGAGGAAAGAAAATCACCTCATGCCTCAAAAAGTAAACACAAGAACTCTCTGAGAAGGCAGTCTCCTTCCAGAGTCCAAAGAAAATGTTTTTACAACCATAGCAGGCATCTAGGCAAATACCCCCACTTGGAAAAACTGGTGTTTCACCATACCATGTACACACAATCCAACCTGAAAACCTTCAAAGACTCACCACATGCAGCAAGGAGTGGGGAGTTAAAAGCTTGAGGGGAGTGAAGAGCTCTACTGTGAACTTATAAAGGCCAAAATAAAAGGATTACAAGACTAAGAAAGCCTTTCCTGCCTGCCTTGTACCCAGATGACAATGTCACAAAACTAACAAGTCTGGAAATAAACAAATAAATAAATACTAAATAATAATTCCATGCACACAAAAATGTTTAACTTTCACTTCAAAGACTAGGCTTCAGCAGTGTTAAAAATAACTCTAGGTGGGGGGAACTCCCAAAAATAGCTCAGTTTACATGTCCTTTTCAAGTGAGTTGTTACAATCAACCTCTATTAGAAAAGGAATGCGAAGAAATCTACCAGTAAGATGAAAGAAAACCACAGTGATTTAAAATGTAAGAAAAAACATCATCTTTCTCAATGTTTCAGTACAGCAGCATCATGGCAGCACAGAGCAGAGAGCACACATTGCAAGAGCTGGAGAGTCTGCAGAACACACCCTGATTAACCAGGTGGAATTACAGCAGCATCACCTTCAAATTAGAGCTCTATTCAGAGATATTTTAAGATTACATTTTTCTTGTACACTAAAGCTCTAAAACTCCAGTGGAATTTAGCTTGGTTCAATTTAAACAATTTGTTTCCACCTGGGTCTGTTTCACTTCAAATAATGTCTCTGAATGGACAACGAAGCCTTGGAAGGCTCAGGAGCTGATCAAGTTTAAGATCAATAGAATAAAAAAAGTTCCCTTCTAGGAGTCTCACTTTTATAAATTAGTTTCAGCCTGAATGAGAACACCAGCTGCCAAAACACCAGACTTTGCAAAAAGAGGCAGAAAGGGTTGGGTTCAGCCCTTAAGGCAGCTAACACGTTCACTGCTCATTATTTCCAGGCTACAAGGATGAATGAGAGGAAGTATACTTGAAATAACTACGGAAAGTAAAGGTAGAGCAATCTGCCAAAGCTGTAAACTCCACCTCAAAAAGTCTGAATGAGACAGGGAAGCTGCCAGCTGGGTGAGTTCTCTCCAGTTCAGCTCCCAGTTGTGGGTTAAACCTTCCTCTCTCTGGCAAACACTTATTCACACCACGTCCACAACACAGCATGACACAATCCGAGTCAGTTATCTGGGGTCTCCAGGAAAGGAGTGCCTGGAAGTGCCCAAGGATATGGTGAAGACACCATAGAGAAGAGGCTCGTGACCTTCTTGCCTGAGGATCCTGCTCCTGACAGAGGTAGGACAACCAGGATGCTGGATGAGGCAACCAGAAGAGAAGAGCAGGAGCAAAGAGCACACAAGGTGGTTTCTTCTTTGAGGCTGCATGGAAAACTGTAGATCCCAGTGTGGCCACTGACTCCATACAGAACTGAGTCTGGACAGTGGAGCCTTCCTTGCACTGTAATGGAAGGTCCTGGATTCTTCTCAAGTACAAAAGAGTCAACAAACCTCCCTGCTAGCCAGCAAGGCAAGGGGAGCAAAGAGGCTTCCAGCAAAATGGTCATGGAACTTTACTGTTAGGCAGACTTCTCTATCCTACTGGAGGAAACACAGAAAATCCTGAGCTCTACGTGGGGGTGAGGAAAACCCCACATCATGTGGGGGAGTCCTCAGTTAAAGCAACTAGTGCTTACAGGTGGGCAGAAAGGAAAGCAGCCCATGCACAGAGCAGTACCTAGACATAAGCATGTCCTGAAGACTCAAAGTTGTTCCTGCTTTGAGACTCACTGAACCTGCAAAAGTCAGGAGCACTTTTGCCTCCTTCTTTCCAGAAAGTAAGCCTCAAACTTCCACAAAGCCAGAGCACTGTCCACCTCTTTCCGGATAAAAGGGTCAGCCATGGAGAGGAGAGCTTCAACAACACAGCCAGCCCTGCTGACCAAGCCCATGGCAGACTGGGTGTGAGAGAATTCACTGTGACACCTGCTTGTTGTGACAGCTGAGGCTGAGCCCAGGTCCTTCACAGCTCAAGAGGCACATCTCAGGATGCCTCTAAAGGTCCTGTCATGATCAGGAAGTACAGCCTGGAGGACCAACATATGGCGAGATGGACCAATGAGACCACGACGAGACTGCATGGGAAGGAAGGAACCTAGGAATGACACACCTTACACATTAACAAATAAGGCTCCCTAAGGAACATTGTGTCCAACTCCCTGCTCCTTGAGGATCCACCTGAAAATAAACCATATGACTAAGAGCATTGTCCAGATGCTCCTTGATTTCAGGCAGGCTTGGTGCCGTGACTACTTCCCTGGGCAACCTGCTCCAGGGACCAACCACCCTCTGGGTGAAGAACCTTTCCCTCATGTCCAACCTGAACTCATTTCCATTCTGGGGTACAAAAGGTGGATTTTGAGCACAGTTCCCTGCCACACTGTCCCTGCTAAAAGAGAGGGAGAGGGTCCCAGTGGCAATGCCAAGAAGACACAAGAAGATGCCAGGAGGGCAGTGGGGACTCCTGCCACAACTGTGAGAGACATCCGACCAAACCTTCAGCAGTGGAGTTTTTAACACAGTCACCAAACCCATCTGTCCAACCACAAAATAAAACACAATCAGCAAGCACAGCTCCTCACCTGACACCATCAGTGCCCAGCACAGCTCCTCACCTGACCCCATGACTTCCCAGCTACAGCATGATCTTACCTTCCGTTTCATTTCATCATCCTCTTCTATCCTGGCCCCGCCAGCGTCGCTGAGGACAGGACTCAGCAGAGGGGATGAGCCCTGGGCAGCTGCGTTCAAGTTCACCTGAAAGGCCGGGGTCAAGCCCAGGGGACTCTTCAGCACAAGGGAGGAGAGCTCGGGATGGTCCACGGGGAGGCCTGGGTGGGAAGAGAACAAGAAAATGGAGTGGAAAAAGAGAGAAAATTATTTCAAAGATAGCGCAACTAAGGTGATTACTCACTGCTACAGCAAACCAGAACTGCAATCTCATGTTATTTTAAAAAAGGCAAAAGAAAAAGAGTAAAAAGGCATATAGATCCAAAGACTTCAGTGTATATCTCAAAGCAAAGGAAGTGTTCCCTGAATCCCACGGGTTACATGGCAGCGCAGTAAGGATACAACTGCAGTTAAGGGAAGGATAAACTGCTTAGGGTCAAGGAAAAAGTGCTGTTGAGCAGCAACACAGTTCACAACATAGGGTTATACTGCAGGGACCAGAACACAGCTTTCATTTTTCTTTCTCAACACAAGAGTTACTTTTCAACCCAGGGAAAAGCTAGGACAAATCATTCCACAACTCACCACTTCAGACGACAAAGTATGTTAAAAATACATTCAGAAATCAGGAAATCTCCAAAATTTGTCCAATGGAAGAGGAAAAGCTCATGCTATACAGAGAGGGAGCATGCAAGAGAGTTCATTCCTAGCTCTTCTAATATATGAATAGAATAATCTCAAGAAAATCAATTTTGCAGCACTGAGTATTAACTGGATGGACACAATCCATAGCTAAACCTGTTACAAGCAGGAGCAACAGGTACTGCTTTGCTTTAGATTATTAATAGTCTTTTTAAAAAATATTATTATTATTATTATTATTTCATTTGTGGACCCTTTAGAGATTTCTGACACATAAGGCACCATCACAGTGAATTTAACCCTCCTCTTTTCAGCATGCAGACTCCCCTCGGGGGTTCACAGGGAAAATGACCATTCAAGATCAACTTTTTGGGACCAAACAAAGGTGACAGACACTCCAATTACACTACACACACAGAATTCCTCCTAACCTCACATATTATTTTTTCTGATCTTCTCTGTGATAAACAGATGAGTTTCCTCAGGTGAGGCAACTAAACAGGTACCAACATTTCAGTATCTCCAGCTCAAACACCCAGCCACGCTCCCAAGCCTCCCCAGCAGGATTTGTCAAGTCACAAGTGCTAAACCACCTGCCCAAAGGCAAACAGGGAAATCAAGAGCCAACCCTAAACTGCCAACCCATCATTTCCCAGACTACTCTCAGAAATCATCGCAAAAGGCTTTAAAAAAAAAAATCAGTCCCCGTGGATATACAGTATTTCCTGACACAGTCACGAGGCACGGGTGCTGGAGAAGGAGTTGAGGGCTTTCGATTCCCAGCTGCTCAGGCTCGGGAAGCACACCCAGGGCGAGGCAGCCCCAGCCTGTAATTCCACATGGACAAACGCAGGAAGCTAAACAGTGCTGCACTCGGTCACCTGGAAGAGATTCAGATCATCCAGGCTGCGGAGTTAACCATTCAAACACTAGTCCAGCACTAATTCTGGAGCAGATTTTTGCTTCTGCCTGAGCGTTTTCTCCATTCCCACTGCTTTTAATATCACCCCTGGAAAGCAACACTGCCTGGCGTTTGTTTTACCTATCCAGAAACAGGAGTTTATTCAAAGTTTGCTTTTACATGCCAGGAATGCTGAAACAACAGCTTCCAAACAAACGAGCTTGCAGGGGAGAGGAGCTTCTTTAAGTTCTTGGAATTTAACATGAAGTAGCAATGAATTCCAGAATCTGTAACTTGAATTGTTTCCAGACAGTCCAGAAGCTCAGATACAGGAGGAGCAAATGGGATGTAACACTGCTTGCCTATTTCAGTCAGAAAGCTGGTAAGCTGGCTGGTAAATTGATTTCAAATACTGCATCCAAAAGAAAGAACCCCACTGCCTGAAGCCAGAGTGACTGATGGAAATGAGAGACACGTTCACAGAATCCCAGAATGGTTTGGGTTGGAACGGACCTTAAAGATCATCCAGTTCCATCCCCCTGCCATAGACAGGGGCATCTTCCACTAGCCCAGGTTGCTCCAAGGCCCATCCAACCTGGCCTTGGACACCTCCAGGGATGGGGCAGCCACAGCTTCTCTGGGCAACCTGTGCCAGGGCCTCACCACCCTCATGGGGAAGAATTTACTCCTAATATCCCATTTGAAACTACTCTCCTTCAGTGTAAGGTCATTCCCCCTTGTCCTGTCACTTCCCAAATCTGCCTTTTCTAGAAAAGACTATAAAAATGTCACAGAGCAGCTTGGGTTAGCTTTTTGGCTAACATTTTTTTAATTAAATATTTGATAAATGCTCAGTTTGATAGTGTGTCTTGGCAGATGACATTACAGGTGAGGAGCATAATTTTCATTCTCATAATCCAAGTCTTCTTCACCAGAGCAGCACAGAGGGACTTCAGGCAAGCAGGTAGGATGTACAGTGATTCCTTATTCTCCAGGGGAAGGATGGTAAAGGGAGAAGCCATTTCAACAGCTGTTCAATGTAGAAAATTCCTAATTAGGTAGAAATATTGATGCAAAGATCAAAACACGTGAATGATTCCCTCTGACATCAAACCCTGGTGCTCTGAGGTCTTCCCTTCCCCGCAGGCAGCATCCTCCAGATACATGAAAAGGGGTTATTCTTTCAGAGGAATGTTTCCATGTTTCGGTGTTCTGCATGAAGTAGAAATTTGTTTTCTACAAGTAAGTCACACAAACACCTCAAACTGGTGTTTGTAAGTGCTGCAAGCAGGAGTCAGGTCTTCCATGGACGACGTGGGGATTCAATGCTGCAGCCCAGACCCTCAGACACAGCTGCATTCTGCACACAACAAACTTCTGCTTCCACATCACATACAAATGCACTTAAGGCAACATCCAAAAATGCATCAGCTCGGTGTAATATTCGTACTCAAAGATCTTTAAGAATACTAATACCTCTTAGTTTCACTATGTAGTTAGAAACACATATCCTTAAGCAAGCAAACCCAGTTTCATAAAAAGACCAACATGCATGTAATTGAAATAAAAAGTAAAAAGCAATCAATAAAGCATTGCAAAAGCACTGTAGTTTGCATGAGCACAGCTACAGACTTGGGTGAGGATGCTGGCCTTATCTGCCACAGCTACTCAGTAATATTGGTTATGTAGAAGCAGCCTCCATTTGGTTTCCACTGAGGTAACAAGCAGAATTATAATAAGCTTTGGCATCACTTCCCAGCTATTTCTTCAATCTAAATTCAATCCCTATGCAGAAAGCCAGATTTGAAGGCACAGGCTGGCCAAAATAAAATGTAAGCATAGGTTCTATAAGCTTTACGCCTGGATGCTTAAAATAATTCAAAGACAGACACCTACAATAGTATCCCAGTAATACAGAGCATTATGGGATGGACAAAAGCCATGTGAGGGTCAAATGTCACCAATGACTCCTTATCAAATGGAGTGCCTCTTGTATTTCACGGAAAACAACTTTATTATTATATCATGGTTATTACTACTACTTCAAACAGACGAGATTGTTTTTAGGCTAACACCCTGCAGAGGCTGACTAGAAGATGATGGGAGCCCACTCAGAGCCCCTCTTCTGCCCAATGCCCTGCTGAACCCATTGCATGCACAGACCAAAGGATTATTTCCAGAGTGAAGTCATTAGCAAGCTGACGTACCACAAGTGAAATCCTGGAAAACACCCTATCTTCCTTACTTCAAAATATCACAACTAATAGATTTTCCCCCTGCAAATCTTTCCTTTAAAAAGATGAGGGATAGTTGAGAGAGAGAGAGAGAGAATCTTGAAAATTATCTAAGAGCCTAAAAACCTACTTAAGAGACCTTAAATTCAAAGATCTCTTTCTTACAGGTACAGATCACATTAAATGTTAAAGCAGGTTTATAGCACTTGGCATGTGCCCCAGTGCAACTGTAGGTACCTGTGAAGCCACATCTACACGTGGTACCGTTGTAGAGTCTGAAGGTTGGTCCCAGTTTTATGGTCACACCCAGGATCTGAAACAACCACCCTTCTTTTGCCACCTTTCCCCCCTTGTTTGCAAGGAAAAGAGAATTTACCTAAACATTGGTCACGGTCTCCTGCAGGAGAACTTTCCACCTAGAAAACATGCAATTGCCTCCACCTGCTATGTTTGCAATAAAGGACAAACTTCCAATAAAAACAGATATACAGGAGAGAGTTTGAGGGACATACCCAGTTTAAAAGAAATGGTCTCCACAATAAATGTAATTCCTACAAAGAAATCTGAAATTCTAGCCCCATTTGTATGCCAAGCAAAAGGTCTGCACAAACCAGGAATTTGAAACCCACACACTAGTGTCTGCCCCAGCTGTGCTCTACTTTCAGTGAAGGGGTATGGGGAGAAAACTGTCTGGAGAAAGCTGGGAAGAGAACTCTAAGATGCCTTGGCTAGGAGAACAAATATTTATTCTATTTCAAAGACAAGGGTAACGAAAATAAAGCTAAAAAGCCCATGTTGTCATTTATATCAAAGTTTTCCTTGTTTTATTGCATAAACAATTAAAATTACGAATTAGTACAAATCTGTAGTTTCATAATTGGCAATCTGAACAGACACAAAGATACTCAAAAACCCCAACATATAATTCAATAAACATTTACCGTATAAAAGATAAAAGTTCAAGAGATCAGTTAAGAAATTCCAGCTCTCTTTGTTTTAATGTAATCCTTTCCTGGTAAGAGTAGCACCTATGGAACTGGGGAGTCCCTCTAACCAAGGCACAGGTATCCCTGTAAGTAACAAACGGGAATTTTGCGTTTTGAGCAACAGCGGAATGTTGTGACTTTGGAAAACGTACAGCAACACCTTCCCACGGACCAGGTTCAATTCACCACGCTCCAAATTTGAACCTCCAAAGCTCCAGCTCACCTGCTGGACTAATCCTATAAGAGCTCACAAGCAGGTAATAAATTAAGTGGATTTTATGATGCGTTTGAAACTGTAAATTCTCCCCATCTTCATACAGCGAGTGTATATGTACAGCCATACATATACACACTGCATTTGTGACCAGTGAGGTGTAAGAGCTCCTCAAAATGACAGG